ATGGTGGATTTTTGTTTCATCATATGCCCAAAGGCAAAAAGTAGTACTATTTCATGGGACATCTGAGTCATCTTGACTGTGGTGCTCATGATGAGCATGAGAAAAAATACTACCATGAGGATAATTGCAATTTATGTTGAACATCTGCCAGAAAGTACAAAGAAATAAGAAAATCTTCTAAGTAACCTGACAATATCCTTGTCAAACTAAGTCAGCATCTACCTTTATGCTTGAACACTTCAATGAGTATATGGGTACCAAAGAGTTCAGCAAAGACTGTATTGAAAAAAAAGTTCATGATGAAGAAATGAAAGAGGAAAGCAGATGAAGACAATTTAGAAGCTTCATTCTTTATTATCCTGCATATTTACTTTTCCCAAAGAGGACCAGAAAGAATTGAATGTAGCAAACACTGAACTGTCACAAAAATGAAACTGATAATACATTTTAAAATATATTTTATTGATAATGTTTGATTTTTATTTCACCTACATTTCCCCTTTCTATATCTCCCCATCCCAGAGAACCATAACATATAAGAAATAATTTTGTAAAGAAAAAAATGAAAAAGAGAAAAAAAATCAGCACAGTGAGTTAATAAATTGAAAAAATAATCTGAAATTATATGCAGTGTTCTATACCTGTGGCCCTCCTATGTCTACAAAGTAGTGTGCATAAGGTTCTCACAGCTCTTCTCTTTTTTTCTGTTTTTGTTGAACTATTTAGTTTTTTAAAAATGCATTTTCAGTTCTGAATTGTCTCCCTCCTTCTGGTCTCTCTCCTACTTATTACAACTCTTCTTTGAGATCATGACTGTTCTCTGTAATTTTGCAACATTTTTGTGGTTGTTGTTTTTTTCCCATTTTATATAGAATTAGTTGTATATTATTTAAAGCTCTGCTTATTTTGCTTTGCACCAGAAACTAATTATATCTCAGGAAGAAACAGAATCAATTTTATTTCAGATATTGCCTAGCTAACAAAATCAAAATTAATGCCAAATTACAAGAGAGGAAAGAGAAGAGATTTTATGCAATTATAACTATTCCAACCTAATCTGATAAAACAAGCTTTTGACTCTGAAAAAGACAGGAAATGGGCAAACAATAAAGATCTCTCTATCACCATTTCATAGAAAATTTTAATCAATGCAAAAGAGTAGCTGCAACTAATGACTGAGAGAACCCAGAAACTGCTTCATCCAGCAAATGTTTAATTCCCTAGTCTTGTGGGCAGATGTGGTGACCAAAAACAAATATAAATACAAGTAAAATATCATGGAATTCAATTTAATGTTTTCACATTGATTTTGTATGATGTGCAAGGCACAATGCTATGTGTTAGAGAAGCAAAGAAAAATAAATTACACAGTTAGCATCATACAGTCACATATTTATGACTGGAAAGTACTTTATAAGACATCTAATCCAATGCTAACTTTATAGATGAGGAAAGCAAACTTCAGGGATGTTATATGACTTCCTAAGGTCACTTATTTTGTAGGTAGCAAAGCTGGATTTTTATTGAGAGATTCAGAGAATATGGAATCTCTCTGTGGCTATTGTTTATTTATTTCCAAAAATCATTTAAATCGATAGAAATAAATCATTCTCAAATGCTCCAATCTGAGTCTATGACAGATATAACCACAGAAAGAACATTGTTCAGTGATCTACTTAATATCAACTTCAACCATGACGTGAAACAAGGAAACATGCTCATGTGAGGTGTTTGCCAGTGTTGTCGTTAGGAAGTCCTAAGTTCAAATAGAAAAATACTCTTTTTTTTTGTCTTTGTCTTTTGTCTTTTTGTCTTTTTTTTATTAATTTATTTTGATTTATCAACAATCACTTCCATATGCTTTTGAGTTGAAAATTTTTCTCCCCCTTCCTCCCCTCCACCCTCCCCAAGACGGCGCACAATCTGATATAGGCTTTATACTTACATACCCATTAAACATATTTTCACATTAGTGAAGTTGTAAGTAAAAATTAAAATACCCTTTCACTGAAAAGTTTCTCAAATGTTCCTATTTTTAAATGACATTTTACTAATTTTACCTAATCCCTAGTTGACTACAAAACATCCATAATGAAATCTATATTCATTTCAAAGATATCCAATTAACCACACTAGAAGGAGGAGAAATCAAACATGATTGATATTTCAAACAAAAAATGGTGTCATAAATAGGGACTGGACAGGATATCCCACTTTATACACATCGTGTTTGAGGTACCAAGTGGGACATCAAAGCGGAAATGCTCTATAAACAGAGAAGTTGGACTACAGCTGAATCTATGTTCTTAGGCAATGAGAATATTCCTGGCATCTTGACTAATGGCTGGTGTTCTAGAAGCACAAAATAGTAAATTGTAGGATCAAGACAAAGTCCATTAGATTCTAAGTCCTTCTGAAAGCTTAGTGCAAAGGGCTGTGGGTAGTTTAAGCATTATAGTTCTGGAGGACTTTGGGAAAGCCCTTCCCACTAAAAAGAACAATGAAGTCTACCACTTTCTTGTGTAACATTTGACAATTCTTTTTTCCATTAATATTTTACCTTTCTCTGAATAGTGTGGAAGCTCCCACAGATATTGCTAGGCCTTAGTTGTTCACCTTTGAATACTGTCATGAAAGAAATTCTGATAGACAAAATTCCAGTCAGTTTATTAGCAAGACTAGCAATTGCCAATAAATAAGGTCAATGTATTTCAATGACCATTTGACCCTGAGTGAAAGCTGACAGGGTCTTTTATAGTGATCAACAAAATGACAGAGCAAAACCTGTGTCTTCTTCTGACTGACTAGAAAGTAGCCTCTCGTATCAGCTTGATATTCTAATATTTGGACCTCCCTTTTTGAAACCTCCTCAATCACAAACAAGACATGGGATTTAGGGAAAATGGCAGTTGTCACAACAGCTTAGATTAAACCAGCTTGATTTTTAGGTGAAGCAAGTTTCTCTCGAATGAGGGTAAGGGGCAAAGTTACAAGGGTGGTGGTACAAGTCAAAAGACAAAGGTAGAGATACAAGGTCACAAGAATAGAATCCTGACCTGAGGTTACCTGAATCACAAGAATAGAATTGTGACCTAAATCTAGTTTAAGTCTTAACAAGATAGAATTAAAATTCAATTTTCAATTTCACAAAATGACAATTTTAGGAATAGTTCTATAGTTGTATTAATCTATCTATTGTACCTCCCATCATTTGATGTTATCCTCCCATCTTTTGATCCTATTCCCCCAATATTACAAAAAGGCTTGCTTTGCTCAATCATTTTGAGATATTCTTGCTCCACAGACAATCTTGGAACTTCTCTACTGTGTCTGTCCTATATTACCATACATATCAATATGCAAAATTATCATACATAACAATATATGTATATATGTATGTGTGTATATATGCATATATGTATGTTTGCATATGGATGTGTGTGTGTGTGTGTGTGTGTGTGTGTGTGTGTGTGTGTGTGTGTGTGTGTGTATGCCTTGCTCTCATAGTGGGAGTACTGGTGGTCCTTCAACAATGTGATTTTTTTTACATTTAATATTAATATGAAACTTAATATGTATAATGATATTAATCTTAATGTACACACTGACTTATAATTTATAGGTAACTTTCACATGCATAATTTCATTTGCTATTCCAAACAACTCTTTGAGGTACTGAGAGCAAATATTACTAGTTCCATTTTGCAGATGAGAAAACTGAAATCCAGAGAAGAAAAATTACTTCTCCTATGTAATACAGCTATAAAATGGTAAATCCTTCTGAACTATCAATCAGAACTCTTTCCTTTTTATATATACATATATATATATATGTATATGTGTATATATATGTATATGTATATGCATATGTATATATATTTATGTGTATACATATATAAATAATATAATTTTTTCAATTCATTAGCATTTATTTCTCCTCTTCTCACCTTCCTTTTCTAGTGAAAAAACAAACCAAACCCTTATAACATGTGCATAGTCAAGCAATACAAATTTTCACATTGGCCACGTCTATGAAAACAGGTCTTCTTTTGTATGTCTTCTACAGGAAGCCTTTTTCAATCCCTCTTAATTCTAGTCCCTTCTCTCTTTTAATTATTCTCTGTTTATCCTGTATACAGCTTGTTTATTTATATCTTATTTGTATATATATAATGTATATATACATACATATACATATATGTATATATACACACATATATGCATGTGTGTGTGTGTGTGTATGTGTATATATATACAAGTTAGTTTGTGGGCTCCTTAAGGGCAGAAACTGTCTTCACTTCTTTTTATATCCCTAACATTTAGCACAGCTCCCAGCACACAGTAGGCACTTAATAAATGATATTAATTGACTTATTATTGACTAAGTCCATTACTTCTCTGTCAAGCTATTATATCACACCGACTTCCTGTTTGTTCTATTAAGTGGAGAAATAAGCAAAATGTATTTCCATATTTTAGCATAGTATCTGAAAGCCAGAAAAACTCCTCCATGTATTTTAATTGTAGAGCCAAGTAGACTTAAAAAAAAAAAAGAACAGAGAGACTGTGTCATCTTGCTATAAAACCTTCAGAGAATTTTGCAGTAAAATGTGGTTATGATCCCAAAGTTTGGTTTATGTTGGAATCTAATGAAGTGAAATGGATTTGATTTTTAAAAAATGTGGCTAATGCCTGAATTAAGAAAGCATGGATGATTTAATATTTTAGCTACAACACAATGTCTACTTCAGAAAGACTATGCAATTATAGTGACTGAATTAAAGACTTCCAAATCAACTATCACTCATTTGTCTCTGTAATACCTAATACCTTGGAGTATCCAATATGCTTCTTTTATAGACCCAGCATAGGAAGAGAGAAAATTAAAAATTAGTAGATAACTATATGTTCTATAACACCATATGATGTATCCTTGTATTTCTTTATTGATGCCTATTTCATTACCCAAAAGATAATTGAATGTTCCTTTTATTTACAAGCACTGGCTCAATGAACTGGAAATTTTAGCGATGGTCTTTGCAGCTGCCATCCATGATTATGAGCATACAGGGACCACCAACAACTTTCATATTCAGACCAGGTAAGTCTATTACAATAATAACAGTGCCCCCACACTTACCCACCTACAGTCACAAAATGGAAGCTACTCAAGAGCAGAGACTGTTAAGTTTTTGTTTTTTTTGTACCCAAGACTTAGCATAGTACCTGATACTGGGTCACACAGCCAGCATGTGGCAGATAGAAAACTTGAAACCACATCTCTTATCAGCCATGCCATGCTACCTCTTATCTGGTAATAAATTTATATTTAGTTAAGCTGAGTGGTGCTTTTATTACCTAGTTTGAGTCTCTTTTGTTAATTCCTAGCCTTCCCTTTGCTCCCTAAATAGGGGCATTCTCTAAAGTTCAGTCTTCAGCCCCATGTTCCTCTGTACTGAAACTTTCGGGTAGCTGCACAAGGACCAATTTTAGCTCTGCTTTCTCCAGCTCTGCTTATGTTTGGGTGCAGGATAAACTACTGGCTGAACTGAAACAAGGGTGAAACAGAGACTCAGGGAGAGTCACCTACCTCTGTATGGATGACACCTTATTCCTGATCTTCTCTTGAGCTCCAATTTCACCTTTCCATCCATGTACTGAGACTTTCCACTTGGTTATTCTGCTATCACCTGAAATATAACAAACTCAAAACTAAACCCACCCCCTCTGAAATGTTCATTATCTTGAATTCCATATTTCAAAGAATCACAGTATTACAGAGTTGGAAGAGATCTCAGAGATTATCTATTCTAGCTTCTTATTTCCTTACCAACTCCTTTCCTTTTCAATATCCTTGACAACTAATCACCCAGTAGCCACTTGAAAAACTCCAATGTCAGGTAATATGCTACCACCAAAGGATGAATGTTCCATTTTTGGACAGTTACATTTACTAGAACTGACATCTGCCTCCATTTAACTGCCCACATTTATGTTTTACCTTCTGGGAGTAAATAGCAAAATACAAATCCCTCTTTAGATAGTTTAAGACAAGGATCATTTCCATCTTATCTTCTCTTTCCTAGGTTGTGAGATCCACAGTTTCTTTATGGTCATGTGACAAGTATTCAAGTCTCCTCCTCATCATAGTTGGAGGCTTGGAGATGTTTCAATCGATCAGTGACCTTCCTTTCCTAAAATGTGGCACCTTGAAATGAACACAATACTCTGAATGAGGCCTGGCCAAAGCATAGTAGAGTGATTTTGAAACATTTGGAAACCAATATTATAGCTTCTAATCTGTCTTGGTTGATGAATTCCAATATTACGTTTCGTGAGACCCATGAGAGATCTCTTTTTGTTTCTGTTTTTTACCTTCCCTGGCATAATACTTAGAGAAGAGTAAGTGCTTGTTAAATGCTTAGTTACTGAATGACTAGTCAATTCCATAATGAAGCAGCATGACATTCTGTACAGAATTTTGAAATTGGAATCAGATAAGCTTAGATTCAAAGCATCATCTCTGATACCTACCAGCTGTGTGACCACTGGCAAGCTTCTCTGAGCCTCAGTTTCCCAAACTGTAAAATGAGTATAATAATTAATTTTTTATCAATCTCACAGGATTGTACTGAGCCTCAAAGGAGATGATGCACATTAAACACTTTAAACAATTTAAGGAACTAATCTGCCAGTTATTATGATTAAAATGTTATCCTATATGTGTAATATTTAAAGAAATCATTCATCCTTTCCCAGGTTCCCTTGTCTTACCCTCATCTCATTTCAGCCAGTGACTTAAAGATGAACTAAAATTAGTTGTTACAATAACCTTGTGAGAAATGATACATGATATCTGTTGTACTGCCCACTTTGCATTATTAAGCAAAATATATATAACGGAACCACTACTCAACAAACGTCCCGTGTTCAGTCAAATTTGACTATTTACTAAGTACATCCCATGCTTTCTTACCTAGCTAATTTTTGGTTGGGGGTGGGAGGTTCTTTTTGTTTGTCTGTTTATTGAGGCAATAGGGGTTAAGTGACTTGATCAGGGTCATACAGTATATATATGAGGCTGTTTTTTTGACTCAGGCCCTCCTAACTCCAGGGAGGTATTTCATCCACTAAGCCACCTTGCTGCCTCTTTACCCAGCTGCTTTTGCTCACAATATTGAGTCTCTGGCTGTTGTATGGTCCCATTCAGCTTTTGAATTCCTACCCCTTGTTCAAAACCCGCTGTATAATATAGAGGAAAACCTGCTTGGATTTCTCTGGGTCTCAGTTTCCTCATCTACAAAATGAAGGGATTGGGCTAGATATGATCATTAAGCTTCCTTCTAGCTATAAATCTGTTATCTCAACTCATATGCCTTTCCCTCCTGGTTTCCCAAGATGAAAATAATCTCTCTCTTCTCTGAATTCTGATACTATTTTATATCATATTTTATGTACGGTTATATTTAGAAGAGTATGTATTCTCTTCCTTTTTGTTGTTGTTAGACACAGCAGTCAGTGTGTCTAACTCTTCCTGAACCCATTTGGGGTTTTCTTGACAAAAGTACTGCACTGGTTTGCCATTTTCTTCTCCAGCTTATTTTACAGATGAGAAAACTGAGGCAAACAGGGTTAAGTGACTTACCCAGGATCACACAGCTAGTAAGTGCCTGAGGCCAGATTTGAACTCAGGAAAATTCTTTACTAGGCTCTCAATTCATGCAAGACAATGGCTATATCTTCTTTGTGTCTCCCCTCAGTGGCCATTATAATAATTTACAGATTGCAGACAGTCAGCAAATGTAAAGTTGATTGAACCAATGAACAAATGAATGTTATATTTAAACTACAGGTACAAAAAACCAAAACAAAACAAAGAAATAAAACAGAAAAAGAGACAGGACTATAAGCATAGCTAGTATACAATCAGATAGGTGTTTTTAATGAGATAGAAATTCTGGTCAATTTAAATGAAAATGAAGCAGTTATATTCCTGAATATTACCTTGGTAAGATACTTACTCAGTGTTAGAGGAGAAACAAAGTAGTATTTTATTTTGTTTTTACCTATCTCTTAACTGCTTACCAGTTAGGTTTCTAGAAAGAAAGATTAGACACTTCATGTGGGTAATTATTTCAGTTCCTACACATTAGACCAAACATCATGTGAAGACTGACTCCACATCTGCTATTAATGGAAGGGCAGAGCATTATTTTCCCTTTCTTCCCTCTTGCTATACACACACACACACACACAACACACACACACACACACACACACACACACACCATGTACTGCTTTATACTTTTACTTGTCTACTGTCTATCTACTTAAATGTGAACCTAAATATGAGAGGCACTATTGAGTATTGAATGAAATATCCCCCTCAGAGCCGGGAAGACCTGGGTTCAAGTGCTGCCTCTGACACATACCTATGACCGTTGGCAAGTCACACTTAACCTCCCAGTCTTCTAGGTGACTCTCTAAGACTCAAAGTTGCAATAAAAGTGTCAACCTGAAGTTGATAGAAGGAGTTTTCTTTCTATCCATGAGTTCCCGATATCAGTGAAATTTCAGATTCAGTTTCTATCCATTATCCACCTAAAAAGCAGCCTTCTTGATATTGATAAGTCCAAGTCTGGTGAATTGTACTCTGCTTTCAGTCTCCACATTTGTAGTTAGATCATTTCTTATGTGGAAACCTCATGAAACTGGGAATGTACAATTCAGGGCTTCACAGTTCCATCATGCTTAAAAATGAATGAATGAGAGGTCAAGTGCTTGGGAACCTAATTGAAAAATTGGCTTTGAAGTCAATGTTGATATGAATCATGAAGTCCTTAAACTGCAGCAAAATGAAAAAGGAAGGGGCAATAATTTCCTCTTTTCAGATGAGACTGTAGAGTCATATATTACCATGGATACTGAGTCTTGCTTGGAGTCCTGCTATTTTCTTAGCATGTCAAGAACATTGTAAAGTTTTCCCCATCACCACCACCACTAAAGGCACTTTATTCGCAGGATCCTATTAGATTTATGAGATGCAATAGTGCCCAATACTTCTCCACAACTAAATCTAGCCCTTCAAAATAATTTCTGTTTGTTTCTGAAAGCAAGATACAGTGGCATTTGGAGTTGTATCACATCGTAACACTGACAAAAACTGCTATGATTAGTTATGTGGGTCAACAGGGTGTGCATTAAAAGAAATTTTATATGCATATTTATGTGTGTGTGTGTGTGTGTGTGTGTGTCTTTCTGTGTGGGAAATCTTAGATTTTCCCATGATGTCAGTGAGAGACTAGAAATAAACAGGGATATATTACCTGAGCCAGCTCTATTTCATTCTGCCTTGAACAAACACTATATATCTGCCTTTCTTTTGTAGTATTCTTGGTATTAGCTTTCAATTCTGGTTTTCAACAAGTATTTTTTTTTAAAACTTGTAGTCAGGAGCAAAATATTAAAAGAGGATGCCTATTATAGGTATGCACTGAATGTATACTCATCCTTTTGACAGTCATAGTCACATAGCCTTAAAATGGAAGAGCAGAAGGTTATTTAGTTTAACTAGTTCATTTTAGACTTGAGGAAACTAAGTCTTAGATGAAAGACTCTGAGCATTCTATTTATACCAAAGGCCCTCATTTTTCTAATGGGGCATGAGGAGGATGGATCTTAGCTTTCCTTTCATTTATTTCTTGGTGTACATTCAATATCAAGTCTGGCATTAGGGCAACCAACACCATGGAAAGAGCCTACCCACTATGCAAGGCCTATTGGAAAACGTAGAAGAGAAGGGTTAGAAGGCAGAGAAGAACGCTGAGATTTTGAGCTAAGTATCTAATTTGTGGGAGAGAAGCAGGGACTGATGAAATGATACTGTGACAGATACAGAATCCATCCCATCTTCAGCAAAAAGTTTTTCCTGCTGACCCCCCAATCCCCTTAATGTCAGTGTCTTCCCTCTGAGTTTCTCTTCAGTTTCTCCTGTTTATATCTTGGGTGTACATAGTTGACTGCATGTTGTCTCTCCCCATTAGAGCCTTGAGGATAGTGGCTATTTTTTGCCTTTCTTTGTATTTCCAGAGCTTAACATATTTACTGGCACACTGTAGTAAATGCTTGATGACTTGACTCAGCCATCACTAATATCTATGCCCTTGCAAGGCTTTTATTTCCATCAGCACTAGTCTAGCTGCTAATCCATAAAGGCTTCCTCCTTCTTTGTTTTTATAAAATAACCTGGTAAGGAAAAATAGCAGGGATAATGGGAAGGCAGTGCTCCATTACAAAGCTAATAAAGCATAATGGTCTGTTGGAAATTTAAATCCATTAAGACACAGAGAAGGGTAGTTGTTCATTTGTCGTGGTGTGGTCATACAGTGGAGAACTGAAAGTCCTCCTGGAGACAGTTGAGTTCATGGAACTAAATAGATCCCATTCCACAAGAGGCAGTGATATGTAGTAGAAAAAATACTGGAGTAGAAGTCAGCACAGGAGCTAAATTCACTTCTTAGCTTTGCCAAGAGTTATCTGTGTGAACTTGGGAAAATTAAGCTAACTTCTCTGAACCTCCATTTGTTAATGCGTAAAATTAGGTAACTGGATAAATTGAGCTAACTATTCACTAAGGTCCCTTCTAGCTCTAAAAATTCTGGGATTCTAAGTTATTCCTTTGCGTGGATGTCCCCTATAAAGAGAATATCAGTTCTTCACAAATATTTGACTATCAAAGACTGCATTATGTGTTTCAATAGTAAGGGTTTTATGATTTGGGGTATATTTTTTTAGTCAATTTAACAAGTGTTCATTAAATGCTCACTATGTTCCATACACTGTGCTAAGTGCTGGGAATACAAATACAAGCACAAAGAAAGATAGTCTGCCCTGAAGGAGCTTACATTCTAACAGGAGGAAGACAATACATGAGTGTGGTTCATTTGAAACCTATTTCACGATATGGGAGAAAAATGGTTTATGATTAGTAATTCAATGGCAAGTAGTAGGAGTCTTCGATAACGGACAATATTTATTTGGTCATAACATTACATTTCTAAATTGATATGAACTAATAAAAGGAAATAATTGAAGATGTAGGAAGAAGCCAGCCCATGAGAAGCCTTTAATACTTTCCACCAGGAAATCCCCTTGCCTCCCAACATTTCTTCTTCGGAAACAATAAACTTTGCTTTTCCTAATTTATATACTTTCAGAAAATAAATCAGTGCAGTGAACTCAAACTACATTAAGATAAGTATGTTGTGCAGAGCAAAAAAGGTTGTGTGCTGTGCTCTGACCTGCTCAGATCATATGTGAAGTACTGTTTTCATTTCTATGTGCCACATTTTGGAAAGGACATTGACAAGCACATCCAGACAGTATAATCAGGGTGTCAAGTAGACCAGAGATCATATAACATAAGCAACTGTTGAAACAACCAAGGATGTTTGGCCTAGAAAAGAGAATACTTAGCCTTCTTGTATTTCTAGGGTTTGTCAAGTGAAGATGAAATTAGACTTCATTCTTTCAACAGACATGAGGTACTTTTAAGGATGCAGGGCATTCCGAGACTGGGAGAAATTGAATTTAATTTATAGGGAATATCAATTGGCCATTTTGGCTGGGCCTTAGAATACATGAAAGAGGGAAATTTACAATAAGCCTGGAAAGGTAGGGCACATCTAAAAGGGCTTGAAATGCCAAGCACTAGGACCATTCTGTTTTGCTCCAGAGGGGGGCAAAAGGTAGAAGTTACAAAGTGGAAAATTTAAATTTGAGGTAAGGAAAAACTTCCTCACAATCACAAAAGTGGAAATAGTGGGGCCACAAGCAAAGGATGCAGGACCACTTGGTAGGGAAGTTGTGGAGAGGATTTTAATTCAGCTACTTGTTAGACTAGCTGACCACTGAAGTCCCTTCCGACTCTGAATTTCTAGAGTTCTTTGAGATTCTGTAATACAAGTCCTTTCTCATTGTGATGACATACTTGTCAATCTACCAGTCAATAAACATTTATTAAGCACACATGTATAGGCCTTGTGCTAAGTCCTAGGGATGCAAAAAGAGGTGAAAGACAGTCCTTGACTTTGAGGACCTCACAATCTAGTTGGGGAGATAATATACTCACAGCTGTGTACAAACAAGCTGCATACAGCATAAATAGAAAATAATCAACAGAGGGAAGGCACTAGATGCAACTAGGTGGCACCATGGATAGAGCATTGGCCACAGGGGTGGGGAACCTGTGACCTCGAGACCACATGTGGCCCTCTAGGTCTTCAAATGTGGCCTTAAGGTCACATGTGGTCTCATGTCACATGTTCCCCACCCCTGGTAGAGTTAGGAAAACCTGAATTCAAAATTGCCTTCAGACACCATGACCGTGGGCAAGTTACTTACCCTCTCTTTGTTTCTGTTTTCTCATCTGTAAAATAAGGACCTACCTTCCAAGGTTGTTGTGAGGACCAAATGCAATGGTATTTGTAAAGTGCTTAGTACAATGCCTGGTACATATTAAGTGCTATATACATGTTAGCTATCATTGTTATTATTATTATTACTATTACAATTAAGAAAGATTGAGAAAGGCTTCCTGTAGAAAGTGGTATTTAAGCTGGGACTTGAAGGAAGCTAGGGAAGTCACGAGATAGAAAGGAAAATGTTCCAGGCATTGGGAACAGCTGGTAAAAAGGCTCTGAGCCAAGAGATAAAGTGTCTTCTGACTTTGAACATGCATTTCATATTTGAAACTTCAATTATCAATCACAGATATCGATCACTGATAAAAATTTTACATTGGCAAAAATATTTAGTACATTTAATGGGGGTAAATCACCTTTCTAGTTTTCCCTTTGGAATTTATAGAGATCTTGTGAGTTGCTTGTCTCAGAAAAATTGTTTGTGAGGAAGGGGGTGGGTGGGAAGGACGTGTGTGCTTCTGTGTGTGATGTACCTGTGTTTCAATAACAGATACACACGTATGAAAAACCTGGGCTATACTTTGGGACTACTGGCTGACCTTTGGTGATGATTTTTCCTAGGAAAGATTTCTGTTTACATGAAGCTCAAGTGGAGGACTATTACTTCTACAATATCAGATTTGAAATGCTACTTAATAATGAAGCCAAGCATCATATATTTAGGACCAGAAGAGACATTAGAGGTTATCTGGTCCAATCCCCTCATGTTAAAGATGAGGGAACCAGAGTCTAAAGAGTTTAAGAGACTTGCCCAAAGTCACATACATAGTAAGGAGAACTGGGATTTGAACCCAAGTCCTCTGACTACAAATCTTGTATTCTTTTCATGATACTACATGAAACAATACTGCTAAACTGTAGCATGTAGCGAGTAGGATTCATTTCATAGCCCAGAATTGGAGAAGTAGCTTTTGTTTAAGATGAAGCTGAAACTACAGTCATTTAACTTCTCCACTATCTGTTCAAATAGTGATAAAAATGGTTCAGATTATCTAACAATCATTTATACTTGATTTTGAGAATCTGATTTTGTACTCTTGCTTAACTATAAGTGAAGCTAACATTTTGAGACTTATAATAACAACATACTCTAAAGACTCAACTTTCTTGCTTCACTGCTCAGCTACACCTGCTAAGAATTGATGATAATGGTTTCCACGACCTTTCCATGGATGGAAAGGAATGGCACAAGTAAAGCTGAAATCTATGGACTTAACAGTTTTGTCAATTGTAAAATGAAGGGTTTATTTAGCTGATCACGAAGACACCTTTCAATTCCAACATTTTATGTCTGTAATACTATATGATTTGATTTGATGCTCAAGTGACATGAACACACCCATGAGGACCAAACCCCTTATTGTATTGAGTTCTTGATCTTTAATGTGAATGATATTAGGGATTTATGTTGACTTTAAGTTACATTCTTCATTTTATTTAACAGCTGTACAGCTGTCACCTGTTTTATACATTGCAGGTTGAAACATGTCCATATTCATAGGAAAAAATCAAATTAAGATCACAAATGTTATATGATGCATGCAGTACCATAGGAAAGCTTTGGTCTGTGGGAGGAAATATAGATTTAATCTGTCCAACCTAGGTGGAGGTACCAAAAAGAATGCTTGTGTATTTATTGACAGTGAAGAAATTTTATAGAAATTTTGCTTCTTCAGCACATTTGTCTACTACTACTATTGTTCAGGTTTCTTTGGTGTAGGGACCTACTGGTGAATAACTTTTACCAGTGAAGATTGGCAGCTTCCCTGTAATACATACTCTTAGAGAGTCACATGAGGCATGAAGAGGTTAAATGAATTTCCCAACCTTCTCATATAGCTAGTGTATATAGGAAGTGAGATTTTAACTCAGACCTCTCAACTCCAAGGTCAGCTTTCCATCCACCAAGGTGCTTTGCAATGAAATTACACACTAACAAAAAAAAGTATTTTGATTACAGGTTGAAAGTGGGATGAACTGACACATTTTAACATATTTTTAACTAGGATATGGGAAATCACATCAAATGTTGCAACATTTGGAGGGTTAAATGATATGTTCATCATGAAGGAAAAGTCACATTAAAAGGCACCTGTAATATTGAATTTTTAAAATACTATTTCTAATACCTTTATGTATGTTTGTTTTTATACCTAGGTCAGATGTTGCCATTTTATATAATGATCGTTCTGTCCTGGAAAATCATCACGTGAGTGCAGTGTATAGGCTTATGCAAGAGGAAGAAATGAACATATTGGCAAATTTATCCAAAGATGATTGGAGGTAAGTCCTAAAGGATGCAGGGGAAGTTCAATCAGTCAGGCAATCTCCTTCATCTTCCATATCTTCTTCACGAAGCAGAGCTTGTTCTTTAAAGACACTTGCCAGTTTGGGGAAATATTTTTGCATGTGAAAAGAATTCACACATCTTAAAAGCTGTAGAACTTTAAGAAATTGACAAATTCTGGAATCTGTAGAACCTTTCTAGAAAGCATCTTCACTTACTACTTTTGGGTTTTTACATTTCTTTTAAAAGTTTGGCACTAAAAAAATAATCATACATTCAATATCACTAGAAATATTATTGAAAATGAAATTATGTTAAACTTTAGTACCCTTAAACTGTTGTAGGATATCTCTAGAAAACAGTATTTATTAGCAGGGTGTGTGTGTATATAATGATTATGTAGTAGATTTATCTATCCATCATTTATCTGTGTTCTCAGGGATATTCATAAGTTATATATCATGTGCAATCTACATTCATTCAAAGACCTAAAGAAAACCCATTATACTGAGGCCATTCCTGAATGATGGCAGAACAACTGGTCACTTTAGTCAGCTGAAAGGAAAGAATAAATCAGTTACTTGGAGACATAAGTGGTTAATTGATATTTTCTCACTAATTTGCTAGCTATTTTGGCATTCTGTAGACATTAACTAAGCTAATTGAAAACATATCTGTCTTAAACATGATTGTAATAACTATTTGCCAATGCAAATTGATGATAATTTATTAGGAGATTCTCACTAAAATCTATAGTTTAGGAAAGGAATTCTAAGTATAAGAAGTGTTGGTCTACAGAGGATTATAGGCCTGCAAAGGAGCTTCTGAAGAATCCTAATCATAAATTCTTGGAAAACAGCATTCCCTACTACTCCAAGTTCATATTCTTAGTTCCCTTGACCAAGCTGCTGTCACCTTTATGGTGAGTCCAACAGATCACTTAGCAGTCAATCAATCCATAATAATGTAATAAGCACATAAAGAATTTCAGGCACTGTGCCAAGTTCTGGGAGAACAAAGACAAAAATAAAACAGTCCCTGCCCTCAGGGAGTTACGGAAGACAATGTGTGTATGTGTGGTGTGTGTGTGTGTGTATACACACACACATACACATATATGAAACATGATTGGGGGAAAGATTAGAGATAGGCAGTGGAAACTGTGGAAACACTTCATGTAGGAGATGATGTTTGAGCTGAGTTTTGAATGAAAGAAGGAATTCCAATAAGCAAAGGAGACAAGGGAGTATATTCAGATTGTGGGCACAGGAGCAGATGAAGTTTGTAGAACAGTAAGAAAGCCAGTTTGACTTGATGACAGAGTGCATGAAGAAAAAGAATAAATAATAGTGCTGGAAATATGGGTTAGAACCAAGTTGACAAAGGTTTTAAATGTCAAACCGCGTATTTACATTTTATCCTAGAGGCAATAAAGAGCCATTGGAATTTATTGGAAAGAAGAGTGATGTTGCCAGGTCTGTGTTTCAGGTCCCAGTTTCAGGTCCCACAAGACTTCACCACACTTCTGTCTTTTGTTTCTATATTTACTTCTCACTCAAAAATATGAACCATGGAGAATTAATATGCCCCAAGGACTTATTTTTGGCCTCAAACCTGAAATGCTATAGCCCCTGATCTTCTGTTCCTCTGGTGCATTTTCTTGTCTGGGATCCTAGGCTCATTCCCTAATAAAGACCCATTTCTAAGCAGATTGTTGATGCTACAATGCTTCAGGTGAAAGCACTGAGGAAAGCACCAAAACAAAAGGGTACTCATAAATTTCTTTGACTGTCCCTAGACTCCTATCCTCCTGTTCTGTGTTGGTTCAGTGATGCTCTATGAGTAATTTCTTCATTTGAAATAGTGACTCCCCTTAGCTAAGGGGAATCTTAATAATGACTTGTGCATTTTTAGTAGAATTACTGATATCTTAACCAATTTGAGTGTCAAGATGGTCAGATACAAAAGTTGTTTCCTTAAGTCAGTTTATTTATCTCCTTATGGCATAGTTGATGGAGTGCTAGACTTGGAGTCAGAAAGACCTGGGTTCACATCTCACATCAGACACTTACTACCTATGTGACCTTTGACAAGTCAGTGAATCACCATGTACCTCCTTTTTCTCATTTATCAAATGAGGGGGTTGGAAAATATGGTCTGTAAATTCCCTTCTAGCCCCAAATGGGCAGTCTTTTGATGCTATAGGATAAGGGACAATACAACCATTTGGAGCTCTAACTTACTATTCACTTGTAAATGGTAGCTTAATGTACATGGGTCTTAGCTGGCAAAGGCACTGAATGAGATAATTGCTTCTTTGGGGTTTCTAAAGACTCTTATAAGAGATTCCATCCAAATCACTCAACATTTGTAGATCATCATTTTGTTTCACAGAATCTCAGAAGTGAAGGACCCTCAGAGTTCATCTAGTCCAAAACGTATCTGAACAAGAATTTTCTCTACAACATATATCAGACAAGTGACTCTCTAGCCTTTACTTGAAGACCTCCACTGAGGGGGGAAACTACGACAGGGCATTGAGGTGACACAGTGGATAGAGCACTGGGCCTGGGGTCAGGAAGACCTGAGTTCAGATCCAGCCTCAGACACTTACTTGCTGTGTGACCCTGGGCAAGTCACTTAACCTCTGACTACCTCAGTTTCCTCAACTGTAAAATGAGAATAACAACAGCACCTACCTTGCAGGGTTATTGTGAGGATCAAATGAGGATCAAATATTTGTAAAGTCTTAGCACAGGGCCTAGAATTTATTAGATGCTATAAAAATGTTAGCTATCCTCCTCCTCCTCATCATCATCATTATCATCATTATCATCATCATCATCATCATCATCATCATCATCATCATCATCATCATCATCATCATCATTGCCTTCTGACCAAGACCATTCTGCTTTTGGATAGTTCTAATTGTTTTTTCCTGACATCAGCCTCTGACGTTGGCCTCTTTGCAACTTCCACTCAAACCCCACTGCTCTGCCCTCCAAGGCCAGGCAGAATGTCTAATCTCTCCTCACCATGGTAGTCTTTGAATCTTTGAAGTCAGATATTACTTCTTCCTCAAATCTTTAATCATGTCTGCAATTCCCTGAAATATTAGCATTAGCTCTTTGCATCGATGATGTATTGGTTGATGTTCAACAACCAGTTCTCTGAAAACATTCGACATACTTTTACATTTAATATCCATCACTTTCTTAAATGTAAGCAATCAACAAAACAATTCCAAGCCCTGATTTGTGTAGCATTTGCCATGGTGTAAATAATCACACTGATAATTTAACAATTGGCTGTTATGGGCAGGGACAAGCTAGCCCCAGCACACTTCTGCAAATGACTCATTTTCTTTTAGAAATTTGACTTTGTTTTATCTATTCTTTCTACTTGCTTTGGACTTCTTTCCTTTTTTGTGTTCTATTTTCCTCTATTATCATTTTGAGGATTTTGAGTGTCTTTTTTGTTTTCCTATTCCCTTGCTTGCTTAATGGTGAGCTAGCCTTCAGTAGTTCCTCAAGACATCCTAATTATAAATAATTGTGTCATAAATATTTATTAGATATAATCACATTAAGATATACAAAATACAAAGTGTTGGATTTTGAAGATTAAATTCTACTAACTATAAATTTGTAGAGATCTATTTATCATGGAATTCCTGGTAACATCTTAACAATAAAAAATGCAGCTATGCAATTGAATTTTTAATTCTTTCATTATGGTTTGTGCAACTAGAGTAGCATGAAAGGAAATAGGCACTTAAATGAGAATAGAATCAGAACATTACAGGAGGAAAAACATTAGAAATTATTTAATTCTACCATCTCCATTCTACAGATGAGGAAACTGAGACCTAAAGAACTAAAAATATGTTCTCGTTTAAGATCATGTAGGGAGCTGGTGGCAGAGCTAAAGCATTAACTTATATTGGTATTCAGTGCTTTTCCACTATACCTTTAAGGCAAGCAGAATTTAGCAACTTATTGCCATGTTTTCTTACATACTTTTCTCCCACTATAATAATATTTCTCTAAGTTCATAATTTACAAAGTACTTTTTTCACAACAGTCCTCTGTACATAATTGTACATGCCAATTTTACATAAGATGAAAACAAAGCTCAGAAAGATAGAGTGGTTATCTAGGGTCATATCTCACAAGTAGCAGATCTGGGATTTGTACCATGGTCCTCCTGAAGCTATGTCCACTGCATCACACTGCTTTGGAGGGGAACACACACACACACACACACACACACACACACACACACACACACACACACACATATACACATACACATACACACACGAAACACATTTTTTAATAAAGTAGTTTATATTTCTAATAATGCCCTTATCTGTTTAACAATCTTTTTTGGTCAATTGCTATTGCATGTAATCCTGATACTGACTTTAGTGAAAGTTGGAAAATAATAAAAAATTCTTTCATTATTCTTTAATGACTTCTCTTCTATTAAAATCACAAGGAAAACATTCTAGTAAACTTCCTAGTGTGAAGTGTGAAGTGCTTGAGAGATAGTTTCTGGGCAATTAATCATTTATTAATTATGGCTAGTGAATTTTTAATGAAAGGATAGTCATTTGGCCATCTCTTATAAACTAAAGATGAAACATAACATGCTTCTCAATACTTATATGCCCTTGGAAGAATGAGTGTTCTGGACAGATGGCAATCAACTCTGATTGGTTAACAATTAATGAGATAATGAATATTATAATGAGAGGTGGGCTTATTCTAATGAAAGGCTGGGGGGTGTGACTCTGATCACTCAGTCTTGGACAAAGAGAGTTATCTCTGCCCAGACTACCCCTATCTAGGATAATCTAGACAAAAGAAGTATCCACTTCCACTCAGACCAGTCTGGCTAAAACACAATGCGTGAGAATTTAATTGGACCAAAATCTCTTTACCTTTTTTTTTAATTTTTTAAAAATCTTTTTACCTTTTGATCAGATCTAAACTTTCCCAGTTGGGTAAGTATCTCCCAAGCTTTCATCTCATTATCAGCCCTGAATGTACTTCAAAGGCTCTCTGAATAACCTACAGGGGCTGATTTCTGAATGAGGAAATAGAAAGGGGAAATAGAAAGGGGAAAAACCCTAGTACTAATTCAATAATTTGTTATTAATATGAGAAAAATAATTTCTCTAATTTAACAATGAAAGAAGTTTTAAGTGTGTGTGTATTTCTTTTTTTTTCTTTGCATTTGTTCAGCCATTTCCGCTATGTCTAACTCTTCATGACCCTGTTTAGGATTTTCTTGGCAAAGATACTGGAGTGATTTGCCATTTCCTTCTCCAGCTCATTTTACAGATGAGGAAACTGAGGCAAATAGGGTTAAGTGACTTGCCTATAGTCATATAGTTAGTAAAAGTCTGAAGTCAGATTTGCAATCTGGAAGATGAGTCTTCCTGACCCCAGGCTTGGTACTCTATACATTGCACCACCTAGCTGATATACATACATATACATATATATATATATATATATATATATATATATATATATATATACATATATGTATACATACATACATATATTTATTTACATTCATATATGTTTATATGTTTATATTTATAAATATACTTGCATCTAGTTTTCTAATGTTGTGTATCTAAGAAGTTACTGACATGATGCTATTCAAATGGACATCCATTTTTTTTTTAGTTTGATTAAGTCATCCAAAATATTTCAGCAGTTTACCTTTGGGGATCATTCAAGTTGAACCCCTAACCTCAGTTACTCTCACTTTATTAAACATATTAACATGATGTCACATATATGAAGTTTGGGTTCTAGGAAAACATTCTGTGGCCTCATGCACAGAAGCAAACATTGGATTCCCTGGAACACACACATATTTGCAGAGTTAGCCTCCTCCTTGGCAAACTCCTTTAGTCTGAGGAATTAGCAGTCCTGCTCTTTAGGACATGACAGTAACTCTGCCTTATTCATAGATCCACTACTGAAAACATCAGTTTGGTAGTCCAGGTGTTCATCAGAAATATTATTTCCCAGGACCTCGGAGCTTAGTCACAGAGTTCCAGTTCAATTTGCAATGTGGCTCAGCCCCAGGAAGAGGGTATAGAAATAGAGGGGAAAATAAAATGGAATTTAGGATAGAAAATTGAAGCAAGGAAATTAAAAGACTCCCATTTGCTAAAATATTTGCTAAAAATCAGAATTCCAGTTTTAATGTTTCCATTAACTAGTTATTTGATATTGGGCCTATGCCCAAGGCAGCATAGAACTGCAAAGAAAATGCTTGGCTTGGAGTCAAGAAGTTCCAGGTTCAAATAATGCTTTTGACATATAGTCTTTAGATCCTGGGCAATTTACTTAACCTTCATTTGCCTCAGGCAATTCACTGGGACTTAGCTACTTAGTCATAGATATTTTGTCATAGATATCTTAGTCATAGATATCTTCTTCTTTGGTTGAAAAATTTCCCACACCCTGAAACAATCACAAACCCTTTATGAATGTTTTTGCCTCACTTCTCATCCTTAGTTTCCTCATCTGCCATTCTTTTGTATTTCTGAAGATTTTCACCTCAGCCCCAGTACTTCCCCGACCCACAGTCTTCTGCTAACCCCTCCCCTATGCTCCCAATGTCAAACCTTAGTGTGAAACCCAACAGGTTGGTTTTTTGCATACTCAAAAGATTTTGTGGAACCAAAGTAAAATTTTTCCCCTTGAGGATGACTTAAAATGTTTTCATTTGAAATAAGGCGATACTTGTAAAGAGTTTCCTTCCTTTGAGGACTGATTTCAACTAATCTCATTCTCAAGTAATAGTTTTATTGCCTGTCTAAGTCCATCAAGACTATAAAGATTGCAATAATGAGGCCCCTTTTAATTACAATAGCAATAATGTGCCCATCTATCTTCAGAAAGAAAAAAAAAGTGATTAATTTTAGTGAAGCAAATGTTCCATGACAAGTGAATAAGATGCCAAATGAATCAACCTCCTTTGAATGTCTTACAGGGATCTTCGGAACCTGGTTATTGAGATGGTTTTATCTACTGATATGTCAGGTCATTTTCAGCAGATTAAAACTATTAGGAGCACTTTGCAGCAGCCAGAGGGGTAGGTTTCTTCTTCCTTTCTTGTCTTTGTCATCTTGAAACACTTAATTTTTTTTTAAAGCAGTTTTTGGTGGGGGCCCTGGGAATGATAGACAGCTTTTGAAAGGTACCTTTGTTCTGATAATCATGTCCTTGATTTCACAGGATAGACAAAGCCAAAGCCATGTCCCTGATTCTACATGCTGCAGACATAAGCCATCCAGCAAAAACCTGGGAACTGCATCACCGGTGGACCATGGCCCTGATGGAGGAATTTTTTCGACAGGTGCCTATTTCAAACTATGTGAAAATATCTCAGTCAGCCAACAAACATTTATTAAGCACCTACTGTGTGCTAGGCACTGTGCTAAGCATTAGGGATACAAGAAAAAGCTTAAAGACAGTCCCTGTCCTCAAGGAGCTCACAGTCTAATGAGGGGGACAACACATAAAAAGAAACTGAAAATCAGGGGAGTGAGAGGGGGAGCAGTGAGAGGAAAGGTTCTTGGCAGGGTTAAGGGGATGGAGAGGGGGGGATGATGAAGTCTACATCCAGGTCAGAAATTGAGGATCTGGGAAGAACTCTCCAATGTCCATCCTCCACTTTATCTAATCAGACTGAAGAAGAGGCCCAGGGCCTAGAATTACTGAGGAGGTCTGAGCTTAAGAGTTGATGTGATCTTGAAGGAAAATGAGTTTCTGGTCACGAAAGCATCCAGTGCATATAATTCAAGAGGCAATTGGTTGATTTCTGTTATAGTCTGGCTCCTCAAACTTATCTTGACTGTCTTAGTGAGCTTATGATCATTTGATTTAACATTTTAGGAAGCTCTTTTTACCAAAGAAACAAATCGCCAAACAAATAACCATAAGTAATGAGGGTTAGAGTTGTCCAAAGGGCCGAGAGCTCAGACATAGACACAAGCAGGCAGAAAGATAGATAGATAGATAGATAGATAGATAGATAGATAGATAGATAGATAGATAGATAGATAGATAGACAGACAGACAGACAGACAGACAGACAGACAGACAGATAGATAGATAGATTAGATAGATAGATAGATAGATAGATAGACAGACAGACAGACAGATAGATAGAGACTGTATAAGAGAGGTAGCATAGGGTAGCAAATAGAGGATTTCTCTTAGAGCCAGAAGAAACCTCATGCAAGTACTAACTGGCATATTTGTTGTTGCTGTTGTTGAGTCATTAAACCATGTTTGATTCTCTGTGATCCTGTGGATTTTGTCCATGGAATTTTGTTGGCAAAGATACTGTAGTGGTTTGCCATTACTTACTCTGGTGTGTGTCCATTTTAGAGATGAAGAACTGAGACAAATAGGGGTTAAGTGACTTGCTCAGGGTCACATAGCTAGTGAGTATATGATGCTGGATTTGAATTCAGACCTTCCTGACTCCAGACCAGAGACTCTATCCACCATACCACCTAGCTGCCCCTGATATATACTGAGCAACAGCTTCTCAAAGCTCTCTAGGCCCATAAATTACAGAAAATGTGCTAATCTGCCTTGTGGCACGAGTTTCAAGAACAGGGATTTTTCCACATGGATGCAATCATAGCCCTAGACCAGCATGTATATATATATATGCACATGTGTTATTTATATAAATGCATATATGTATATGTACATATGTATGACTGTGCACATATATAGACATATGCATGTGTGTGTGTGTGTGTGTGTTGCATACACCAATTGTGGTGTATATAGCATGGTATCCCAGCACTCTCAAAGATTAGTAATGGTATTAGTCAACTTAAAAATGCAGACCTTTCAGGGAAAGATTCTTATTTCAGCAAAATCTGAAGATAACTATCGTAGGGTTGCAGTTTCAGATTTAAAAGAGACGCTATGAGGTCTCTTCTAAATTTGGAATCTAGAAGAGACCTCAGAGGTAATAGAGTTCAACTGATTCATTTTGCAGATAAAGAAACCGAGGCCTAAAGAAGTGTCCAAGCATATATAAGTGGCAGTTAAGTGATAGTGGCAAAGTTGGTTTTAGCATCCAGGGCTTCTGACTCCAGCATGTTTTCTTGTGTTTTTATAACATTCTCATTATTAAGCTATAGTTGAGAGTAAGATGGCAGTCAGGCTGTGGTCTCAAGGTCAACTCTCAAAGGATTTAGTAATTCTGTGTTTCTTGATTACAGTCTATAACCCTAACTAGCCCGTATCTTACACACACACATGCCTTTTGTCATAAGGAGGAATGTGAATGAATTGGTATAAATCCATTCATAAACTTTTGAAATTTTATTGGTACTTTTTTTATTTTTACATCACAATCTGCCAACAAGTACAACAGTCCACACTATGTCCCCTACCTTTCCAGAAAAAAATAAAAATAAAAATGAAAGAAAGATATTGATTTCTTCAACTCTTCTCTGGGGCTAAGTTTAGCCATTATAATTGTCCAGCATTCAGTTTGATTCTATTGATCCTTTTGTTTACACTGTCATAGACATTATGTGTATTGTTTTCCTAATTGAATTATTTCACTTTGCATTAGTTCATATAAGTCTTCTTGTATGTCTCTGAATTTCTCATATTTGTCAATTCTTTTGTTACAAAAATATTCTATTATATTTATGTACCACAGTTTGTACAACATTTATGTATCATTCCCCAAATGAATGGGCACTCACTCAGTTACCACAAAAAAATGCTGCTATGAATAAAAAAAACCTGTTTAAATATGGGACTTTCCATCTCCTTTTCTGAAGTACAGTTAGAAACTCCATTAAAAGCAGTGCCTGCTTCCTGTATAAAAACATAGTGACACACTTTTTTGCAGGTTATTTCTTAAATAGAACTTCAATTTCTATGCATTTTCATGTGGTTTTACATCATTTACAATTAAATTTGATACTTATCAGTGCTCTACACTTTCATTCAGTTAATGAGTATATCTATATTGTTGATTTTTAGGGGAGAAAAAAAGATTTCAGATTTGCGATTTCAACTACTTGGGGAATTCTAGGGTCTAAATCCTCCTCACCAATGCATCTTGGCTACTTTTAATGAAACTCCTAGCCTTAGAACATTGCTTGGAGACCCTATGTAGGCCTGCTCACTGTCACAAAGTTAGTATGTATCAGGGGCAAGACTCTCTCTGTCCCTGTCTCTGTCTCTCTGTCTTTGTCTCTTTCTCTCCCTCTTTTTCACACACACATACCACACACACACACACACACACACACACACACACACACACACCACTACATCACACCATACACCATAAATACAATTATAAGCTCTGAAACTAAAATTCAAAAGAAGTTACACTCTTGCTGAGCATTTAGGGGACTATTACTATTTCTCATTGTTAGCTGAATGTTTGTTTTCTCTTTCAGTAGCTTGCTAGTCTCTTGGGAATTTGAGGATCTGTTCCCAAGGAGATTTACAATGACAGCATTTCTCTATGATTGTAGTGAATTTGTTATTTACCTAAAAAACATTCCTTTAGGCTCCATTCAGTAAATTTCATATGTGTATATATATGTATGTGTGTGTGTGTGTGTGTGTGTGTGTGTGTGTGTGTGTGTGTGTGTGTGTGTGAGTAAAACCTAAAAATGATCACAGGTGAAAAATCATTTTATGTCCAAGGGAAAAGGTAATCCCCAGGTTACATTCAATCCACACTTTGAAAATCAAGGAATACTGGAGCTGGGAAGGACTTCAGCAGTCATCTAGTCTAATTTTCCCATTTCACAGATCAAGCTCAAATACATTTGCTGCCTTGTCTACCATGGTCAGCTAGTCAGCATCAGAAGTAGGATTACATCACACATCTTCTTTATCTGCTAGGCCAGACTGCCTCTCAGTGCCCTGTACCTAAAATAACAGTTTTATGGAGTTTTTGAACTTAAAAGCTAGTCTAACCCCACCATTTTAAATATGAGAATTTTGTTTAATTAGAGTTAATTAATTAGATTAATTAGTTTTTTCTTACATTTTAAGTTCTGAACTGTCTCCCTTTCTCCTCCCTTCCCATATTTATAAATATTTGTAAAACCATACTATATATATACTTCTATTTATCATTTTTTTTTCTCTGGAGGTGGATAGCATCTTCCTTCCTAGGTCCTCTGTAGTTAAATTGAGTATTTATAACATTCAGAATAAGTTGGTCACTCATAGTTGATTCTTCAAACAATATTGCTGTCACAGTATAGAATGTTCTCTTGTTCTGATCATTTCAATCTTCATTATTTCATGCAAGTCTTTCCATGTTTTTCTAAAATCAACCAGCTCATCATATCTTAACAGTATGGTAGTATTCCATCATAATCATTTGCCACAACTTAATTAGCCATCCCCCAGTTGATGGGCATCCCCTCAGTTTCCAGTTCTTTGCCAACACAAAGAGAGCTGGTATAAATATTTTAAAATATATAAGTCCTTTTCTTTTTTGCACTGATCACCTTGGAAAACATAAGTAATAAGTATTGCTAGGTCAAAGAATATGCACAGTTTTATAATTCTTTGGGCATAATTCCAGATTGCTTTCCAAAATGATTGGATCAATTCACAGTTCCTCCAACATTTGTCATTTTAGCCAAGCTTATAGGTGTGAGATGTTTTCTCAAAGTTTTTTGTTTTAGTTTGCGTTTCTCTAATCAATAATAATTTAGGGCATTTTTGGTGTGACTAGATATAGTTTTGATTTCTTCATCTAAAAACTGCCTGTTTATGTCCTTTGATCATTTATCAATTGGAGAATGACTTATATTCTTATAAACTTGACCAAATTCTCTCTACATTTAAGCTATAAGGCCTTTATCTCAGAAACTCTGTAAAAGTTTTCCCTCAATTTTCTGCTTTCCTTCTGATCTTGATTACATTGGTTTTGTTTATATAAAACATTTTCAATTTAATGTAATCAAAATTATCCATTTTACATCTCACAATGCTCTCTACCTCTTTCTTATTCATAAATTATCTGTAAGTCTGATAGGTAATGTGTTCCATGTTCTTCTAATTTTCTTATGATATCTCTTTTCATATCTAGGTCATGTATCCATTTCGACCTTATTTTGGTAAATGGTATAAGATATTGGTCTATGCCCAATTTCTGCCAGAGTACTTTCCAGTTTTCCCAACAATTTTTACAAAATAGTGTATTCTTATCCTCAAAGCTTAAATCTTTATATTTGTCAAAGACAAGGTTACTATAATAATTTCCTACTGTGTACTGTATGTCCACTCTGTTCCATTGATCCACCTTTCTATTTTTTAGCCAATCTAAGATAGTTTTTA